GAACAGTTTTTGGATTGGACGAGGTCAACGCTACGTTAAAAATAGCGGTTAAGCCTCCATTTTGGTAAAAAAATTAGAAATTAAGAATTCTTGGGAAGTATGCTGTCAGGGTGAAACTTCTCTTCATTACCAATAAAGCGAAAGGAGATGAGGCGACTCAGTGTACTTGGGATGATGACTCCTGGCTGTTCGTCAATGGGAAAGGGTTGTAGAGTGGAAAATAGTGTTAGACATTTCCATGACGGTCGTCCTCGATTATTGAATCTAGAGGTTGGCAGTGAATATTTCGGAGACAGTAGGAAAGCGTACTTTAGGTTCGCAGTGGATATCACAGCAGAGTGTAGTTCATCCTTCTCCTGGTCGCCTTTGGTCCTTCTGGTAGGAGGAAACAAGATGGCCGCCTTTATACACGACGAATACCGTGTTGTGCGGCTTCTGACTGGTCAACCTTCTATTGGTCGACTATAAAGGGAAATAAGTCATTCTGACTCGCTCACTAGTCAAGTGTCATATACCCCAAAAAACCGTAACAAATAGTTCATCAGCCACAAGTCTATGTAAACGTTTTTGAACTCTGTCAAGGCTAGGAAAAGAAGATCGTGCTTCTCTATCCCAGATATGGTATTAATACACCACTTTGTATCACTAAGACAAGACTCAGCAGTCACTCAAGGTAGAGCGCGAGTGAATGAGGTATGAGATATGAATGTAAGCGTACGAAGTATGAAGGGAAGATTATGAAGATATAGAAAATAGGTAACCGCTAAATGAAGTGGTTATGATTGTGACCATCCAGGGAAGCATCCGCGAGGGAGTATGTTCCACAAAGCAGCTCTACTTTGGGAAGGCTTTCTAAGTGTAATATCTCCTTACAATGGAATGAGGCTGATTCGAATTCTTGGACGTCGTATAGTAGGTCTTATCTGTAAAGGTCTAAACTGGTAGAAATAAAGGAGGATTTTGTACGAAATTGTGCCATGGAAATTGTGACAGGGTAGTGACAGTCTCGGATGTTGAGAAAGGATCTGCAAGATGGAAAATAAGTAATCAACCACAAGGGCGCGTAAACGGATATGAACCCTATCCAGGTTGGAGAGTGAGGATTGGATAGCTCCAGCCCAGTTATGGCAACAATACACCATTTGCTAGACCGTTAACCATTACACACACTGAGGAACATGAAACAAATAATGAGAGAGAGACAGACAGAGAAAGAAAGAAGAGAAACACTAAGAGAGAGAGAGAGAGAGAGAGAGAAAGAAATAAAGAAGAGAAACATTGAGAGAAACTGAATGAGATAGACAGAGAAAGAACTAATATTTGATGTATTTCAAGTTATATGAAATGGTAACTCTAGCGTTTATCTTCTTAAAATCAGATGTACTCCTTTTAGATTTCAGGAACAAGCAAGCAAAGATTCAAACACACACACATATACACACATTGACACACACACACACACATAGAAAGAGAGAAGGTTGCTTCGAAGTCTTATCTGAAACTGTGCATGTATATATCAATGTTACTTAGATAGTTTGTTTAATTTTATTCTTTTTTTTCTTTATCTAAATAAAAAAAAGAAGAAAAAAAAGAAAGCGAAGGAAAAAGCGCTGGGGACGAAAAACGAATACCAATGTTGCTCTGAGAATTTCAAAAGGCAAAGCTTGCTAACATTCGTATCATTCTGTCGGAAATCGCTTCAAATGCTGTCCAGCTGATAGAATTGTTTATTGTAGTGACGCCTGCGTCCGGGTCTGCCACGACTTTAAATATAAGAAAAGATTGGGTACTATGCGAAGGTTGAATGGGTTTGGCGGCGTAGATGTTTAATAAATAAAGATCGTAATGAATTAAGAGGAGGAGGACATTTCCCTGTCATTTAATTTGGGATCAAAGTGAAGAATCTGTTCTCACCTCTCCTCGCTGTCGTGTTCCACTCCTAGGGCAGTTCACGGAAAGAGCTTTGAGGGATGTCTGGTCCCGGGGATTCCAGCCCTGTGACAGCACCTCCCTGATTACACTGAAAGATGATCGGTGGAATATAGACGCCAGTATGACAGAGGTCGCGGAGAGCGAACAGATTTTGGATTGGCCAAGGTCAACACCATGTTCAAAATAAGCTTGCGTCACATCTTGCCACCGCAAAGAGTCACGTAAAGTAAACAAGACATCTTGCTTGGGATCAAAGTGTAATATCTGTTTTCCTCCTGTCTACCGCATTTCTACTTTCGGGCAGCATCTCTCTTGGTGGCTGCAAGGATTGTGCAATTTTTATCTTTCGGCATATGTGCACCTCACGTTAAACCAATCATGCGTCACGTTTTACCTCCGTAGCCTTACTTTATACGGCCTTGGGACAGTATTGGGTGCATAGCGTCTGTTTTCCTCTTGAATCTGATACTGATTTACAAACGCTTTGCCGCAGCACACATCTTAAGTCTGCCGTGAAATATTGTCATGGTATACATATTGGATTTGATACATTTCAAAACAAAAGGAATATCTCACATTAGCTAAAATGCTTCCTTGCATAGAATACTGCTGCCATATATGGTCTGGTACCCTCGCTGTAAACCTCGAGATCCTCGATAAAATCCAGAGAGGGATATGCAATGTTATAGGTTCTGATCTGGCATCTAGCCTACAGTCGATTTCTCACAGATGTGCCGTGGCTTCCCTCTGTCCACTAACCTGAAGTGGAACAAACACATTAAATCTATAGCTTCAACTACCGCAAGGAATATTGGTTCTCTGTGTCACGCCAGAAGTTTTTTTTTTCTCTCCTGAGTCCATCCTTTCAATCTACAAATCAACCATTCGTCCTTGCATGGAATACTGCTGCCATATATGGTCTGGTGCTCCCGCTGATCATCTCTTGGTCCCCGATAAAATCCAGACAGGGATATGCAATGTGATAGGTCTTGATCTGGCATCTAGCCTACAGTCAATTTCTCATAGACATGCAGTAGCTTCCCCCTGTCACTTCTATAAGTATTTTTACGACAAATGTTCCGACGAGCTACTTTCGCTGGTTCCCAGACTGCATGAATTTAAGCGAGCTACTAGGTTGGCATCCCGTCCCACCCTTTCACTGTCTAAACGGTTAAATGTATCCGTCTCTTCTACTCAAACAGCTTCTTCTCTCGCACTTCCCGTCTGTGAAATTCTCTTCCTCTTACTTGCTTCTCTGAATATATATATAATATATAAGTCATAGAAATTAGGAGGATTTGAGATAATTATAATTAAGTAATTAATCGAATCTAGAAGAAACCCCAACAGAATGCAGAATGCACTGGACGGCCGTTTCGTCCTATATTTGGGACTCATCAGCAGTGCACATCCACTACCGAGAATTGAAACCCGAACAGTTACGATAGGAGGCAAATGCCATACCAACTGTTTCAACGGGCCTCAGTGACGAGGAGGTAGCAATTAGACTTGATATAGCGCCGCTCGATCACATATTCCATATATATATATATATATATATATATATATATATATATATATATATATATATATATATATATATATATATATATATATATATATATATATATATTAGTTGATTTAAAATATGGTTTTTTCCACTTTACAAAATAGTGCTCAATGTAAATTTACAGAGCATATCAATTAATTTACAAAATTATGCTCTGTAAATTTACATTGAGCACTATTTTGTAAAAATAAAAAGTATCTATAAGAACACCGGATTATATATCTTACTGTTCTTTTTTTTTTATATTTATATACATATATATATATATATATATATATATATATATATATATATATATAAAGTACTCAATATCAAGATAGGGCGTATGTAAATATAAATATAGAACGGTTTCAGATTGTTTCATGCTAGACGCCATCGTCATATATATATATATATATATATATATATATATAATAAAACTTAAACACTAATATTCCATGGTCATGGAATATTAGTGTTTAAACTTTTTATTATATCCTTACTCTGTCCTAGGCATTGAGTTCTACCTGGATTCTATCCTGTTGGAATTTCTTATTCAAAAAATATATATGTATGTGTATACACCTATGTATATATATTTATATATTTTTCATATGTATGTGTATATTTACCACTAATATTATCAATATACATATATATATATATATATATATATATATATAATTAGTTATTGATTCATTCAAGTTCAAAAATCCATCAGTATTTTCTGTTACTGTTAAATTTGTAAAACTCCTCTATAAGATTAATTCATGTAAATGTATGTCTACTAATATCGAAAAATAGGAATATTATTTAGAATGCACCTTTTGAGTCGGAAAATCTTGGAAAGTCGTTTTCATTGTTTCTTTTTTACGGTTTATCAACCCTTAGCAGTTATCTAAAGGTAGAAAATATTTTTACATTGTAAGACTTTTTGTTAGGTAATAATGATTTAGTGATACAATTCTTAGTAATTAAAGGAATAACTGGAGGAGTAGAGGTGAATTCATGTCTTGTCTCAATGATATGTGTGCATAAGTGAAAATAACGAAACCAACTGGAATTGGAACTCGTCTCTCCGAGTTCCATTAGACCACCCGCACATCCAAGTTTATAGCACCTGATATCCCAAGCGGTCAACCATCTAGACACTGACTAGGCTCACTGGAAACGGGGAGAGAATGACATTCTGACATTGTGTAACAGATGCATTGGGGAAAAAAGTTTCAGAATCACTGCTCTGAACAAATAATACTCCAGAGACATTACTTTTCTTCCATGCAGCACACTATGTCGTTTGTGGAGATTTATCCTTGCTAATCGACTTGATGTATGTAACCCACTTTTCATCACCAACTATATTTAGGTAATGTTAAGTTACTATGATACATATTTCATTATAACTGGTTCCTACAAATGGAAATTACTTACGACTCACTCTATACTGTATTGGAGGAATATCTTTTTCGAAAGGCAGGTCCAAGTAAAGCGTAATAAAATAGCCAGGTTGCCTGTTCACATGATAGGGCAAGTTATATTGACTCTGTTCCAATTTGCACGTCAATCTCCTGTTAAATTATCCAGGTTGAGCAAGTATTTCTTTTGGGATATTCGCTCAGGCCAGCACAATTGCTCACGGTCGGAACGCGTAATTTCACCACGAAACTTCGCAACACCCAATCAATGAGTGTGCACCCAATAAATATCCGAAGGCTTTTCGATCGAACTCACAATGAACACATTTTTTTCAATTTTTATTTTTTTTTTATTTTTAGGCCTTCCCACTTCCAGTGTTCTCAGCGTTGGGAAAAAATGTCCATAATTTTGTAGAAGTCAGTCCTTCATATTTACGTATTAGCTTGCTTCGGCATACATAGATATTGGCTTTTGTCTAAAAAAAAAAAAAAAAAAAAACGAAAAAAAAATTAGTCTTCTGTATGTGAAAGAAATGTATAACCTTCTTGGCTTGAGGCCTTGAACATTATCAAAAGGAGATATAGATTTTTACCCCATAATTTTTCGCGGTTTTTCGCCGGAATATATTTGGGACGATGTCTTCAAGGTTGTTAAAAAATGAATGCTCATTGATTACTATTTGTTATAGAAGACGCTTCACTGTTGCAGATGTTGTTCTTTGGTTTGTTTTGCTAAAACTTTTTCACCTTTCTTTCTGCTGTTTAGATGTTATTTCCTTCTTTTTTTTATTTCTTCTTTAGCTTTTCTTCTTTTTCGTTTTTTTCTTTCTGTTTTTGGCTCATTTTTTCTTCTCCTCCTCATTCTCATTCTCTTATTTCTCCTCAGTGGTCCTGCCCAGAATCCGATTTTTTTTTTATCCCTTCATCCGTTCCTTTTTTTCTTTCCCTAGTCTTTATTTTCTATTTCTTGGCCCCTTTTTATTATTTGATTTTTTTTTTTGGTGAAAAGTTCCCCGTTCGACGCCGAGACGTCATTTCTCCTCTTTTTCTTCTCTCCATTCGCCAAATTCTTTCTTTTTCATTTGCCTATCTCCTTCGTTTTCTTTCTTGTTCTTATCACGTATCGTTACGTTTTTTCCTTTGCAACATTTCTGTCAGTTTCATTCATGCCTTTCCTCTTCTTCCATTTTCTCGCTCTTCTTTTCATCGTTAATGTTTATGCCTTTCCTCCTCTACTTCTTTTTTCTCTCTCTTCATTGCATTTAATTTTCCTTTTCCTTTATTTGACACTTCCATCTTTCTGTTCCTCACGATCTTCCCAGTTTCCTTGCACTTTTGTCCTATTCTCCGTCCATTTCTTTCCTTCTTTCTCTCTTCACTTCTTTCTTCTTTCCTCCCCTTACGACCAGTCTACTTCATCTCCGTCCTTCAACTTTTGCTTTATCCTATAATCGGTCTATACCCCCTCCACATTATTCATTTCATTCTCTACTTCCCCTCAAATTTAACAGCCGACATTAAAATTATTGAGACTGGCATTATTGTCGGTGTTCCGGCACCTAAAGACAAACTTGCAGATTTTTACGGAAAAACAAAGGAATTTCTGTCAGAATATCTATCTATCTATCTATCTATCTTGCAGAGTGTTCATATATATATATATATATATATATATATATATATATATATATATATATATATATATATATATATATATTTCTAAATCAATTTAGCTACCTATTTCTGTCTCAGTATGTTCATATCTATTCGTTTCAGTATATTCGCAGGCATCTATGTATGTATGTATGTATGTATGTATGTATCTATCTATCTATCTATTCCTTTTCTCACCTCTCTCTTTTTCTGTCTGTCTCATTTCATATCTATCTATCTATCTATCTATCTATCTATCTATCTATCTATCTATCTATCTATCTTAATATTCCTTTTTTTCACCCTCTCTGTCTATCTCTCTATTTTTCTGTTTGATTGTCTCATATCTATCTATCTATCTATCTATCTATCTATCTATCTATCTATCTATCTATCTATCTATCGTAATTTTAATATACTTTCTGAGAGTTATACATGTTACTTTCTGTAAAATCGTGTCTATGATATAGCGCATCAGATAAGTATTAATAAATTTTTATTAGTTTAGTGTCACTTTCTTTATTGTTTTCATCGCAACACTTCAGTTGATATGTACTTTAATCGACTTCCTGTTCATTCGACAAACATATTTTATGTAACATTCAGAATTTTTTCCTCCTGAATTAACGAAAAAGAAATTTGTGCTAACAAGAAAAACATGATACGAGGAAAAACATTTAATGTTTCGGAGAACTATTTATGATCTTTGAAAACTTCCATATATGGTTTTTGAAATTTTGCATTTACAGAGGAAAATCCAACGTTTTTTTTTACCGTGATCTCGCAAGCGCGAGATTTTGAGCTTTCTTGCAAGAGATATTTTGAAGCCTCGCTAACTTGTTATGGATGTTTTTTTACTAGTGATATAAGTAAAAAAGTACTTTGTAATGCGCAAGAACCATTAGGTGCAATGTACACACGAGAAAACCTGAAAAACATGTACATACACACACACACACATATATATATATATATATATATATATATATATATATATATATATATATATATATATATATATATATATATCAAGTGTTAACGCACTTTGTATTTATTATATATCATTTTTATATCGTTTCCTCGTTATATCGTTTCATCAAAATGTCTTTCATTTTGTATCAATTCCTCGTTATATCATTTTCTAAAAATCTCTGCCATTGTCCATTAATTTTAAAATATAAGTTAATATTTATTAAACTATTCAGATTGATTACCTAATTTGGCTTTTATTATTATTATAATTTTTACTGTGATGTTCACTCTGTACAAGACCCAAGAGCCACTCGAGATAGAGGATTACAGAGTAAGATGCACAATTTATTCGGATATTTGGGCAAGATCAGCATTGAACCTAGACTTGAACAGGTTAAGACTGTAATAATCCGGGAAGCACCCTCTTGGGAGTCGGTTCCAAAAAGCAGCGGTTAAGCCACTCGAGTGGAACTTACATCTCACCAATGAAATACTAAGGAAATGAGGGCGGTTTACTATGGCGGTTCGCTATAAAGTGTGTTGTATGGCTGTTCTTAGCCGTGAAGATTAGAAATGGTGTAACTCAGGAATGGAGTTTGTCTGAACACTTTCCATGGTAATAGCGAGAGAGCAGCGAGCGGATTGCGTCGTTTCCTCTGCGAGAAAAGGATCACTGGGGTGGGGGGAAATAATTCGTTACCCAGAGGGACAGCGAAGATGCTTTTGGATTCTTTCGAGGCGGGCAAGTGAAGACTGGGCAGCTCTTGTACATAAATGGCAGCATTTTCGGCCTGATCTGTCTCCTGTAAAGGTGAAGGATAGCTGGAGTAATGCATAGGAGTAAACATCCTTGTCCAGCATCGTATGTACGAGTTCCACATGAGGTCTGAATTGAGTTTAAGTCCCAAATAGGCGCTCAAGGCACTAGACGTCCCTGTGGAATGACACCTTCGTAGCGATCGGTGAAAGATCTAGATTTTCTCGATGGTGATGTATAAGAACGTTTCGACCATTGTAGCGTACAGGGCTCTTCGAGTATCACCTGTATTCTGTAATCTTCTGTGAATCTCTAGACCTTTAACGCATTTAGTATAAACTACAAGATATATCTGAAGAGCAACACACATTCGACATAAATCGTAGAACATGAGGAAACATATTTTTACTTGGAAAACATGTGTTATTGTTGATGGAAAACATAAAAATCGATGACAGTATTTCATTAACTGCTTATTATTGTCTTGACGTTTCACTCGGAACAGCAGACAAGTGTTAACGCTCTTTTTATCTTACGTTATATAATTTCCTCAAAATTTCTTCCATTTTTCATTAATTTTCAAAACTAAGTTAATATTTATTAAACTATTCGGATTGATTTCTTAATCTTGGTTATTATCATTATTATAATTTTTACAGTGATGTTCACTCTGATAGAGGATTATAGAGTAAGATGCACGCTTTTTGGGGAAAAGTTAGAAACAAATATTCAATATGCCTCCGTGGAAATAATTTTATTTTAGCTGAACTAAATTCTTAAATGTTAATCTTTCATAAAATATATACGTTATCTTTTTTTCTCTTGTGGCTATACAAACAGCACGTTATAGAGTTTTAAAAGACAAGAGAAAAATATTCGGTTTGGCGGACGCAAGGGCAATTAAAACCTTAATTTAAGATATTTGGACTAGTTTTGGATATTTTCTTTTATTTGAAGATAGAAATCGAGACAAAGCTATGTGACTTCAAACATTAGACGCCCCATTTTTAACACTGCGCATTGCATCTATTGATTTTGGTATTCGAGAAATGCATTCCTCTACAGGGATCGAACGCGCATCCCACTTTTTAAGGCCAGTTAATTTTTGATCCAATGCGCTTCACTGCTCGAACACAAAGAACGTCGCAGCATGCTAAGACCTATTTTCCTTTTTTTAAGGAAAGCACATCCACTTCACCCAGGTTATATGAAAGATTCAAATCTTTTCTTTTTTTAAATTTGTTTTTACGGTTTATCAACCGTTTGCATGGTATTTTAAAGTCAGAAAATATTTTTAGATTGTGAAAATCTTTTGGTGATAATCATTTTAAGGATACAAGTCTTACTAATTGATTCATAGATAAGGGCTAGAAGAGTTTGATTCATACCTTTTCCAGGGTTACTTGCGCGTAATTAAATATAACGAACCTGACTGGAACTGGAACTTTCAATTCCGAGCCGTTATCCATTACACCACCCGCACATCTAATCTCACAGCACCTGGTATTCTCGAGCTGTCACCCATGTAGGTACTGACCAGGCTCAACGTTGATTGACTTCGGTGATCATACGAGAACCGTTGTTTCAACGTGATATGGCCGTAAGCCCGCTTCATATCTGTTCTGTTTCGGATCCGAAACGAAATGTCAATCGTTGTCTTCTGTTTTCTTGCTCTATTATTGTTGATTCTCCTTAATAATATTTTTTTTCTCATATTCGTCCGTGCATTGAATATTGTTGCCATATCTGGTCCGGTGCTCCTGCTGTACACCTCGAGATTCTTGACAAAATCCAAACAAGTATCTGCAATATAATCGATCCTCACCGGACATCTCGACTTCAGTCACTTTCTGACGTGACGTGGATTCTCCAAATATTTTCATGCCAACCACTCTGACGAGTTTTTTTCCCATGGTGCTCCGAATACATGAATTTAAGCGGGCTACTAGATTGGCGTTTAGGTCCCACCAATTTAACTGCTGAAAAAGGTAAATGCAACCGCCACTTTTACTCTAACAGTTTATTTTCTCGCACTTCACACCTGTAGGAATCACTCCCGTTTGCTTGCTTCCCTGATAACTACAATCTTCAAAAATTTAAATGCAACATCAATCAACATTTTCCCGTCCTGCGTATGACGATAATCTACATCCGCGTCCTGGGTAAGACGATAAACTACGTCCAGCAGCAAGGCCTCTGATCAGGTGGTTTTGAGGAGCCTGGAAACATCTCTTAATTGCTTGTGTTCCCAGGGCCACCTTGATCCGGGAAGGTAGCACCTGTTTGGGTCCCAGCTATGGGTAAATAGTTGCCCCCAAAACTGGTGTCAAAACATCATGAAAGTGTAAAGATAGGTTTTAATACCAGAATTCCTTTGTAATAAATTATTAGCAGCAATAAATTTTTGAAAAAAATATTACCAGCAATACTTTTTTTTAAAAAAAAAAAATACCAGCAATAAAAATCTTGTCGGCAATAAACCAATGAGACTTATATACCGTAAAACAAAACAAACCAACTGCCATTTTCTGTTTTCTTGAATCCTGTCCATACTTTGTCCTTTCATCAATCCTCCCTATTTTCTGACATTTTTTTCAGTTTTACCTAGTGTAACCCCTCTGCGCACAAGTAGCATCCCTTGCTTGGAGTGAATTGATTAAAATATATTTCACATTTAGTAAACTCTTTTATTTTAGTGCTTTGCTTGTGGTGAAATGATTACAAAGAAAAAGGATTATCCAACATTTAATGCTTGATCTAGAAACTTCCCGAGATGAACGGAACTAGACTAGGACAATAAGGTGAAGTTATTTACATTATGCCGAGTTTAAATTCCAGTCGAATCCATTACATTCACTTACGTGCTAATATCCTTGCGAAAGATATGAATCCTCTTCTTCTCCCCAGCTATGGGTAAATAGCAGGACAGACTAGGTTCTATAGCTTTGGATGCCAACTGGTCTACCGCAGAAAGGAATGGTTAGCTACTGCGGGGAAAAAATAAAATCCGCCTCGTCAGTCATGTATCGAAAGATACATGATCACCTAATCGTGTAACACGCACGGTACATAACTGACTGATAATCACTTACGTACTAATAACCTTGGGAAAGGTATGAATCCTCTTCTTCTTCCCAGCTATGTGTAAATAGCAGGACAGACTGGGTTCTATAGCCTTGGATGGCAACTGATCTACCACAGAAAGAAATGGCAAACTACTGCTGGAAAAAATCTGCCTCGCCAGTCATGTATCGAAAGATACATGATCGCCTAAGCGTGTATCACGCATGGCACATAACTGACTAACATGTTTGCTAGTATTCTGTTTGTCCCCACAACAAAATATATTAATGAAAGCTTTCATCAAATATTGTATCAATGCGTATGTAAGTCTTCCAGAATCCTCCCATGAGTATAGGGTCACATCTTTACCACGCAAGTTGCTTGCCCCACGCCCAACTGTTTTTCGCCTGGACAGATTGCCAAGCAAAGCGAGAGATCCTTCTCTATTCTGTTATCAACCCCTAGTTATTATTGAGGCAAATCTCATTTGCTATAGATGCTTTCAATTGCATCAATACATTTCCCTTATACAGGCTATAAGAACCCAGATGCTAGATACCAACAAAAAGCGGAGACTTCAGGCATGCAGACACACATAAATTAACAGACGATGGAAAAGTTAACACCATAATCTGAAAACACATTGGAATAGTGAAAGATGCCTTCCATAAGCTAAGCAATGTATTAAAAAACAGGAAAATTTCATTAGAAACAAAGAAAAGAGTGCTGAATATTATGTAGTATCAGTCCTCTTTATCTCCATCATTCACTACTAGAGACAAAGAAGATGTAGCAGAAATGTGGTTCTTCCGAAGGAAGTTGAGAATACTATGGATTGAACAAGTGTGCAACACTCACTTGACATATTGGAGGCAAGAGAGACAGATGAAGGCAGTGAGTAACCTACCTAACAAGATTGTGTAAATGGTTGGCAGAACAAAGAGGAGGGGGGTAGCAAAATGTTTTTTTTTTGTTTTGTTTTTTTTGTTTTAACCTTTCCAACGTTATTTATGCGAAGTATAAACCAACGTGATCTCGTCTGGAGTTTAAACCCGGCCCACTGATTCCACTTTCCGCGCCGAGGTCCACTATACTACTTGCATATTTTCCTAAGATATTAACTTCTAAAAAATATGCTATTTTTTTTTCTTCTTTCAGTTGCTGTAGTCAATATCTGAGTTGGAATTGAAGACAAATACATACAGACGAAGAGTCAATAGTCAACTGTTTCTACAGAGTGCGACAGAAATACCTACCACACGTATCTTCCAGCAATACTTCACAACATAAAGGTAAGACATTAGCTACACGAAGACACCGTTGTCACTAATATCTTACCATAATTGTAAGACACTAGCTAGATGAAGACGCCATCATGTGAGAGGTATTTCTGCCGTACCTTGTATTTGACTTCCACCGTCCAATAGCAGTCCTAAGGGTGGGGCGTTCTAAGTTCAGACACCCCCACCCTCAAAGCAGTTGTCTAACAACGATCTTGTCTGGACGCAACTGAAACCACTGACACATCTGCATCATTTTTCCCAGGAGAGTTGATGCAATTATCTAAATTATAGTCCATTTTGTATACAAAAAACGTTTTACAACTCTTCCACCAACGGAATAGATGACGTCACTAGTCGGCTAGCCGACGGCATCTCTGCTTGTAGCCATATGTGCTCGGCAAATGCCCTGCACATGGTCGGAACAGTTGAATTGATTCTATTTTTACGCCATATTTCCCTAAGGGTACAGCCGTTAGCAACAGTCTTTGTCTGTTCCACACCACTGTGCGTACATGAGTGTGGGTGTGGGTGTGTTTGTGTAAATGTGGATTTTAGAAGGATGAGGGCGATTTCTTACGAGAAGGAATATATGAAGTCAGTTTTATATTCTTTGTTCCATTATATAAAGAGCAAATCCTGAAGTTTCATGCTCAACAATGCTACTGTCTTTGAACATATATTGGGACAAAATTTCATTTCAGACCTCAAGTGGAACACGAAGATTAGTAACAACACTAGATATACTGGAGAAAGAGTGTCGATTCCTTGTACCAATCGAAAAATAACTTCCTCTGACAATTTAAAAAAGAATGATTTTAACCCACGCAAGGCAATAAAGCCACTGAGACGCAAAGAGTTACTGAGTGTTACAGAATATGAGAAAAAAGACTATTAAGGACAGATAACAATAAAATAACAAACATTAGGAAAATGGAAGATAAAGATCGACATTGCATCTACATTTTTGAAGGTCAAAGTTGACTGGGGAGCAAGAAGCCGGAAGAGAGTTCCACAAGCGAGAAGTGCGACAGAAGAAACTATTAGCATAGAACTTATAGTCAAATCTATCCATTTAAACTGTAAATTGGTGAGACCTTGCCGTGAATCTAGTACTTAAACTCATAAAATCTAGCTAGCATAGAGGAAAGTTCATCAGGACAATAACTATGAAAGTATTTACAGAAAAGACAGAGAGAAGCTACGTTACGGCGCTGGAAAAGTGACTGAAGCTGAGATACTAGACCAGGCCCAATAATATTGCAGATTCTTTGGATTTTATCAAGAATATCTAAATATATAGCAGGAGCACCAGACCAAACGTAGCAAGAATATTTCAAGCAAAGAGGAGCGGTAGATAATAAATAAAATAATTTAGACAATAAATAAAACCCTTTGTTTCTGGTCCCAATCCAGAGCACGGGGCAAAAAAAAAACCCATAAAAAACATTGTTTAGAATTTTGTCACCATGAAAGCCTTGTATTTTCAATGAGTCAGTTCAGTTACGTGGTCTGGGGGGAGGTGGCAAAGAGAAGGGACTTGTTGAGAGATGCAAGGAATAGATGGAGGTGGGGAGCCATGATCGCCTACGTCCTAAAAGGACACGGCACATAGAAAAGATCACTTTTTGGAGCTACCTAAAACATTACATTACATCGCCATCTTTCTTTGAATACATTCTTAAAGTATCTTTCTAATATCTATCTAATACAAAGGATACAGGATTAAAAAGATCAGCCCCAGATTAGAATGATGTGATACCTCGCTGCACTGACTGATCGCACAATGTTGAAGAAATTGGAACTACCAAAAGATAGATATACATAAGTAATTACGAATACATCCGATGCCCGCTTAGACATACAAGAATCTTCACTTACATACATATCAAATTATCTGCGGTTTTAATGCCATGTCTGACCAATGAGAATTGATCCAAACAAAATCGAAAATACTAGAGTTTCTATCTTTTTGTCTGTTTTCTCTCAATCTCTGAGAAAGCTTTAATAAAAATGAAACATACTAGACTGATACACGCTTAGACAATTCGTGTATCTTTCAATACATAACTGACAAGGATTTTTCCTTCCCTCTGCCTCCTCCCCAAGACCACGTTCTGTAATTCACTTGCTTAAGTCTGCCAGTTATGTCATGCATTGTTTTCCCTTGTCTCTCTTTCCCTCTATTCGACCCGTGAGTATCAGATTCTCCAGGCCCTCCTTCCTCATTATGTGTCCCAGAAACTTCAGCTGTCTCTTCC